AAATCAATTACACAACATATGATATTCGGCAGGCACAGGATGTGGTAAATCCTTGAGTATCTCACTGCAACTTAATGTTAGAATATACTCTGGCATACCAATACCACATAGGATAATACCTCTGATTTGTAAGCCAATCCAGTATGCAGCAGCTATACTGTGTAAGATGTCCGTGGTTGCATGTTGTATTTAAGATCCAATATTGTATAACCTTGGCCATATAGCTCAATTGGTAGAGCAGCTGGCATGTATCCAGAAGGTTCCAGGTTCAATCCCTGGTCTGGTCAATATCCAATTTTATCACTTAATGCTACTTACTTTGTCCCTTGATTTCAATATGCCCCTGGCCCATCCTTTTTGCTATGCTCAGGTTCTGGGCATATATCATGCCAATGTAATACACATTGATCCTGGTGTGGAAAACTACCAACCCAAACAAATGGAGTTCCTGTGGGTCAGGTGGTATGAACTCCCAAGTCAGTCTTACACACCCAATCAACTTGCTACACTACAGTTTATCCCCATGGCTGATGAAGACATATTTGGTTTCATTGATCCTGCTGATATACTCCAGGCCTGCCACCTTATCCCTGTCTTTGCTAAGGGCAAATTACACCCAGACGGTATTAGGATGTCAAGACACGCTCATGATGCTCAAGACTGGAAAGTGTATTACATTAACAGGCATGTTAGCAATTATACCTTTCAAATCCTTCTACTTATAAGATCACAGGTTTGTTGATTATGACATGGCTATGTGGTACCATTGGGGTATTGTCATTGGACATGTTACACCCATTATGAGTCACTGTACCAGCAACGTACCAGCTCTACGGACCCTGTTAGTACAGCAGATCCATTGCAGACTCAAATTTGCTGCATGGAGACAAATTCACTTATGAATCAAATCTGTCAGCTGGAGGATCATGCAAACTTGGGCTATTTAAATGGTGATGGTGAATGTGTATTGGATGACTCTCAATTTGGCTTAGACAATTGAGGAGATGAGGATTGGGACTTGGATAATCCAGACGGCAAATTGAGAAACAATAGCAAAGATCTGGAACCATATTGATTGGTGCTTATATCAGCCTTGTAGCTGATGTGTTCGCTATTTGACAATTTGTTTTTGTCATTATAGTATATAAAGAGTGAGTGGCTTTATACTTTTTAACTTAGATACACTTGCAAAAAGACCCCACATAGATAGTGTCCTACAGAATTATATTGTGGATTTTTTGTTTTTAAGTCCAGCTGATAGGTTTGGGTCCTTTATGCATGTATGGTAAGTTTCCTTTTCTCTCTACTTTGGTAACCACAGCATTGATATCTCAAAGTCATGGGCTAGATCAGTTTCACACACCAATTCTATATTATTGGACACCGTTGCACCATGATGACATAGCCCACTTCTGTAAGTTATGGTTGAAGTACAAAAACTCCTGCCTTTGAATGATGTCACTAAATTGGTAGGGCCAGCTCAATCCGTAGGAGGATGTGGTGTGTTTTACCATTTTAGACAAATTCTGTGAGTTTTGGTGATTCTGCACCTAGTTGTGCTATTTATTTTCCCTTCTTTCTAAATCACTTTCCTCTTTATTCTTTTTGCTCTATTGTTCAGTATTCACTAAGCATTCTATAATTTTGCCTTTGTGGCTGATTTGTTTAACTTTATTTACAAAACTTCGGACTAGTATTGCAGAGTCCAGTATTCCTATTCTTTAGTTACTCATACTGGACTCTAGTTCTGTCCCTGTTAGCTCTCAGCAAGTGGCTAGACACTTCCCAGAAGTTCTCAATTGAACAAACTCTAGTTCTACCCAATCCGACATCACCTCATGATGGCAGTAACTGTTGTGGTCATTCAATGTTATACCGCCTACACCCATGAGATGAGTCAGGACAAGGGTCATGACTCTGGTTTCCATAGAACATTATTGTAGGTAAGTTTGTTCACCAAATGCAGATTTTGCTGTATTGGTCAAAGTCTCTACTTCCAAAATTAGTAAAGATGAGCCGTCAATCCACCATCGAAGTTTACCGCTGCATCACCTCAAATCAGATATTCAAAGCTACAACATCAAAAACCCTTGGAATGGTATGCTCAGAAGTGGGCTACTGGTAAATACTTACAGAATTGTCACAGTTACAATGTTTTGTGCTAATACATTGGTAGGATTTTAAGCACATATTTACGCATATCCACAACATGTGATCTGTGACAAAAGCTTCACTTGCTTATGATGCAACTCACGTAAGTGGTTATTCCCTTGTAAGTGCAAGTTAACACTGAAAGACATATGGGTTTGCTTTGCCCTCATATCTGCGCAAGTATTTTCTTGTACTGACCTAGTCACGGACTCTGAACGGTTCTACAGCAGCATCCTTGGCCTACTCAAGAATCCGGAGGAGAAAGAAGAAGTTAATCAACTAATGACATGGTGGAATCAGTTCGTACCCTCTTTTTTGTTAGCGTGTTTGTCAGTCAGTTCACAATAATATCTCCCAGCCAAGTTTTTCCTGTGCATGTAGTGCCAGACCAACTGCCTTCAAAAAGCAGTGCATTGGCAAAAAATCAAAGAAAGGTAAGAGGTGTTGGACTTTATTTGGCTTTAAATTGAAGCATATACTTTGACTAGCATTAGTGTATTTAATTGCTATGGTTGTAATGTTTTGGCCAGCTTCCAAAAAATGATGTTTTATTGCTCATACTACCATCTCCTTGAGATAGAGCTCTTGTGAAGTTGAGCAACCTTGAAGCCAATCCACCGCTTGTACATGCTTAGAGATATCCAACAGTATTCAACATTATCATAAATCTGATCAGATAACCTCAACAATGATCGTTGTTGGCAATTTGGGGCCGGATGGAGACTGCACAAGTATACTTGATAATAGCTAAACTTTAAAGCATTTTTTGCTATGTGATATTTCCTTACCACAAACATCAATTTTTTACATGCATTGAAACTCAAAACCAAATAAGATCACCCCCCACAGTCTTGTAGCAACCGTATGCTCTGTATAATTTCTCGTAGATTAGAAGATCTGATATACTTTGTTTTAATGTAAATGTGGTGTCAAGGAGTTAGAAGGCGGCCAGAAATTAAGACTTGTTAAGTATCATAAACTTCTCCATAGAATATAAAGTGCGAGCTATTTGCCAGCAGAATGAAGTCCTGGTTGTGACATCATCACTGTCATCATCATGGCTCAGCCATGCTGTACTTCTGGGAATACATAAAGGCAGCCATAAAATATATGGTATTATTGTTTGTGTTATCAGAATGATACAGCTATTAGTCAGTCATTTTATTTCTTACAGAGAAAACCAATTGTATCTAACATCGTCAGATCTTAATTGATTTCCTGATGTATAACCACATGCAAAATAAACATATTTACAATACAGTATGTGAAATCCATATGAGGGCATATAGAATGGGCTGACCATACGAACATCCATGACATAGTATGTGAAATTCATATCAGGCCATATGGTATGGACTGACCATACAAATATTCATGATAAAGTATGTCACAGCCACATAAGGCCATATCATATGCAGTGATAAAACCAATATTCATCAACCAACCATGCAAAATTCAGTTCATGTGGAATCATTTGGGATATTATGCAAATATGCTGTAGCAAATTTTATCATAAAGATACTGTGATCCAGTTTTGGTGTATACAGTATATGTAGTCTATATCAACATTTTTCGAAATATGGAGCCATTAGCAAGTATCACTATTTACAATGTGCCATGCAAATTCTATGTCATAGGAAACAGTAAAGAAAACATTTATTATCATACAGAACGTACTGTGGACATATCACAGAATATGTATCCTGTCAAAGTGAGCAATGATACACCCACATGCAATTTTTATTTTACCCAATCATAAGGCACTTCTACGGACCCTAAAGATGATGTAGTTTTCTTAAATTATACACAAGTTTTGCAAAATGAGTTATATGCACTCCGAGTGATTCAAATGTACAATCCTGTAGATCACTGCACTGTCCACTATATGTTAACCACTACACCATGTGTATAGCATTATCCAAGACATTCTGACACCAAGATCACACAATTGTTGTAATTGGTCTACTCCTTATCATCAGTATCAATGTTGCTGTCAGATCTCTTTACAATCATCTCCTCATCTTGCCCATCAATCCTGTTCAGCTTATTTAATTTATTTGTGTGGTTTTTGATCAGTTCCCTCAAGATAGCTTTTTGCACCTCATTTTCTCCCAATTTCCAGGTGTAGAGAGGTCTTCAATGGTGAGTCCAAATCTCGTGAATATTTTATAGAGGAAATACCTGAAATGAGGTGTAAATATCTTATCCTTTAGATTGTTCTTGTGATTCCCCTCAGCATCAGTCACCCTCACCATTTTCCAAATATAGAAGTCAAATAAGGTCACATCCTCAGGACAGCCACAGTAAAGGTATCCAGGAATCCTTGTAACACCATTTGATCTCTTTACCCCCATGTGCCAAGCATGAGAGTTCCTGTATTCTTATAAAATTATTTCAGCTCTTTGGTAGCAGTTCCAGTCTTGTTGTTTTTGTGGTGGTAGAGGCAGAACATGTTGTTGTGACTAGTCATAGGGCAGTGTAAGGCCAGCTCTCAAGAAGTGGTACCAGCTTTGGGCAAATTGTCTGCGCTATCTCAAATATATGCGTGGACAATGTGCTCAATGTGAACTTTCAATGGATCTAAGGAAAACTACTTGATCTGCACCTTTCCTTTTCTTTCCTTCTCTGCCACAAGTTGTCAGTGAGATTGACTCAAGTTAAAGGATACACTATCACTGACCAGCATCACGTTGTGCTTTTTTTCAAGTTTGATCTCCTTCTTGCTTCATTTTACTCTCTTGCTGAATCCCCCAACCTCCCCATCCTGGTTGCCTTTGTTTAATGCATTATTATCACCCATGCTACTGCTTTTCTTTTTACTGTTGTTCCTAGTCTTTTTGTTAGGCACTCTACTCCTTGATCCACTGTTGTCCTTGCCATCGTTTTTCTTTGCCTTTTTTTGGCTCTTTCATCTTCATTCCACCATCACTATGCTTGTTGTTGCTCAATATCTCAATCTCATCCACTGATCTCTTCTTTCCATTCTCAACCATGTTGAACTGTTTTTGAGCATGAGTTTGCTGCCTGTTCCCCCCCGGAACACTGCTGGCTGCCTCAGAAGAGCCTCCTCCCTTCACAACTCCTTTGAAAGTACTGTTTTGATGCTGCAAACCAATTACTCCATCAGCCTTAATGTTCCCCCTCTCAGGTTTTTTGGCAGTCTCAGGGATGACAGCTGCATCATCCATACCCATCTCATTGTCTGCGTGCACTATCTCCCCCGTTTTTGTCGTCATCAGCCCCAGCCCTTTCATCCTTATCTTTTTCTCCCTGTTCTTCAAACATCATTGGGCTCATTTCCCTCGGTTTTGACTTTGTCGCCTCCATAAACTGTCCCATTAGTGTGCTCTTGACCCTCCTGGCTCTCCCTGTCACCCTCTCCTGCATTGGCCTTATTACTGTCCTTGACTTTATTCCTATTGTATTGCTCTTGGGTGCAGTCCAGAGTTTTTTCTTTGTTTTTATTCTTTTCTTCCTGTTGTACAGCCCACTTGCCTTTCTTATTTGTTGCCACCCCATTTGATCTTTTTTTTGTTGCCTTTGCAAGACGTGTGTACAGTGTATGTGTGCTGCCTTCTAACTCCATCAGTTCTCTTTTGAATGTTTCTATTTCAGCTCTCATATTGTTCATGGTGGCTATTACAGAGGTGAGTATATGGATGATGTATTTCTGCTAGCACTTACTCTTGCTACCTCCCTTGGCCCTTTTCTGAATCAAGCATTCTACGTGCTCAATTTTTTGTATTCTGTTTTCTATTTTTTTTTCTAGCTCTACTCATTTGGCTTTGACATCCATTGCTGTAAGTAAATATTGCTCAGTCTTTATTCTCAGTGTAACTCATATCAAACCAACACCTAGAGAGTCTGACATGTATCTAACTTTTTTAAAGCCTATCATCTTTGCAGGTGTGCAGCAGCTCAAGTTTTGGCTTATACAAAGTGTGACGCTCCTGAGCAGGTGCACTATTTTGGTGCTGAAATAAATGTTTATGCTGACGGTTTTATCCACACCAGGTTCTGAGCAGTGTCTAGAGGTTTCCAGGTGCGACATCTGAATCACCGGACATTAACTGAATATAGTCGCTCCTGCTAATTCCTCCATGTAGTATAGTCTTTTCCTCAACACTGCACTGGCCAAACCCGCACTCAAGCTGGCAAGCCCAGCAACAGAAACAGTCATCATTATGGGTGCATATATGTTTCTTGATCACGAGAAACAAGACTAATATGATTGACTGTAGTCACTATACAAATGGGCTTTTTGGAATATTTGCTAACAGTCTGGCACATTCACTGTCTCTACCTCAGTATATTCTTAACAGAGTACACCCTCAGGTGATATTATAATGCGGTTTTATATTGTATCTACTACATCAGTTTACTAGGGCTAGGGCTACAATCAAACAAAAATTTTGCATGAGCTTTCCACTAGACCATTCCAAAGACGTGCATGGATAGTTCATGGCAACTGTACATAGTATAGTAATAACCTTCTATCTTAGGCAGGGTGTTATTACCTGATAATATTACTATATAGATGGGGCCAGCGGAGTCCGGCGGAGTGTACCAGCCGGGCCATGTTAGACGTGATATTATTGTGCCCATCCTTGACAACCAGGCTGGGTGAGAGTCTGCTCATGAAAGACCTGTCTGTCACCTTTTTAAGAATCATTTTTTTCTATTTGACGTTGGATATGCAAATATAATATCTCATAACTTCCAAATCTGGTGGTGTCTTGTATCCAGGAGGCTCTCCAAGTTCGTAGCACTGACATTATAGATTCATGGACATGCTTGAACAATGTGTTTCTGAAATGCTGTATTATATAACGTACTGACCAGTAGTCATTTATTAGAGAACCCACATATATTTTTGTTGTTTACAACAACATCATGAGTCCTCAGACCCCTGAGCCATCCATTCTTTCTGATATCCCTTTGAGCTGGAAATTGCTGTTTACAGAACTTGCAGTACAGTGTGTGCTATTTCACTTCTGGCAAGCATCAATTTGCATGCACACTGAGGGGCCCGACCTCCTCCAGCCAGAGCCAGGACCCAGTGGGATTGGAATGCAAAACTCCCAGGAACATTTGTTAGCAAATGTAAGAGAGCAGCTGGGGTGTTGGAAATTGCATACCTCACAAGGAGTAAGTCATTTGTATATATTACTGATGAATATCCGGGTAGTGAATATTCAATGGGATGTGTCATTGCACGCAGAGCGGGTGGGCCCTTATAATAATGGCCAGAACAACAACCTTGGACAGAGTATACCTGAGGAATATTGACTTGCAAAAGATATTGGCATCATCACAATCCCTTTTATCATAATGGACATTCACGGAAGAATAGTTCTATGGTACCTCCCGGGCATCCTCACTGAGGAGAAACAAGTGAAAATATATTTACATGGTCAAGCAAGGTACTTATATAGAGATAATATACTTAGCAAAGTATGTGTGGTAGTCTACAGCATCTAAAGCGGAATATGGAAAGTAAATGCCCCAAGAAGCCCTCAAAGAGCTGGCGTCAATCTTCAGAATATTACAAAAATCCCGGGGACTGTCAGCTATTCCCTGGTGGGTTGATAAACTTATCCAGTGTGGTCCAACTCGGTCATGAAGTCTGTGTTATTGAGTTATAATTTATACATTACAATTGATAAAAGGTTCACCACAGAAAACTGGAGAGGCTCCACAAGCTTCCCAGTCCTTGCACAAATCTACACTCCTGGGCACTGGTGAACTGTGGTTGCAATCCTTTGTGGAGACCAGGGCCCTTATGAGTGCAATTTTACATGTAGCTCACCCTGCACTCTATGGGTCAGCCCAGGAGGTGCTGGTACGAGTTGAGGACCATATGGATGATGTTACAATTCACAATTTTTGGACCTTTAAATTTCATTCCCCACTTTAACTTTCTTTCATAGTCTTCACACACTGTACCATGCAGTACTTTTCATTTTGTTCAAACTCCACTTTCTTGTGCTGCACTGCTTTCCTTTATTCTTAGCTACAAGTCTCTCACACAGTGGAGCTGGTCACAAGGGCTGTACCCTATGACATCATCAGCCACTGCCCTCATCAACTGTATAGTACACGTGTACAAATAGTCTGTAGTAGTATAAATACCCAAATGGATCAAGGAGACTCCTCAGCGAGTCCTCCTGTTATTTACCCATAACAAACTCAGTCCTACCCTAAGGGAGATTACTCTCTCCTTCACTCACCCCTCTTTGCCTATCTTCACTGTGCACCAGAGTATAAATTTTTTTGGTTATTACAGGTGATGTAACGGTACTAAAGGTATGGAGCTCAGTCTTCAATGTACTTTCTATCATCAGCAACCAGGAGATGCCAGTACACTTGGATTGTCTCTCCAAAGCAGAGTGGTATGACATGTTGGCAAGCATAGAAGACTACAATGAGGCCATTCTGGAGCTTACTGGGGCAGGTTTTTGCTTCAAGTTTGATAGTGGGACTATTACTGCATTTAGTGGGAAGTTTCTGAATCATGGGGTTTCATCCTGCAGTGGTGAGGGAATATATTTTGCATATTACATGAGGGAGTATGTACATACAATGTGCAGGGTGGAGACCCCAGGATGGTCAGTACCTTCACATGATCATGTTATGCAGTTATAAATGTGGAATAGCAGCGGAACTGTCTTTATCTGCACTGCTGCAAATTTGTAGCTATTTGTAGTAGCTTGCTCAATGAAAAGGGTGAAACCCAGGCACACTGCAGTTGGATACCGGGAGCAAGTAGAAGTCTGGGAATGTTGTATTACTACAAAGCCCAGGGAGTATTGGATTGTTATGATGCCCAGGAACACAGGATTACTACAAAGCCCAGGAATACTGGACTACTATTACATAGTATAATGGACCCTGGGTTTCTATTAAATTGTGGTCCACTATTCTAGTTCCCTCAAGCCACTATGCCTAGCCTCTGGGATGAGTCCTTTGCCTGTTCTGAGAACTGGTTCCACGTCCTGATTTGCCTCTCTACATATGCTACATGACTGGGTTTAGCCTCCATTTCATTGGCATCTCAAAAACCCTTCCAATGCTTAACTTGATGTTGAAAATACTGAACTGTCCACTTCATCTTGAGGCGCACCAGAATGTCTTCTTCTATCCACCTATTGTACATGGCTTTTGCTCTTAGCCAGTGAACCCGGTAAACTATACTTTATTACTAAATGTTAGCTGTTTGATACCATGAAACTGAGACCAGGCTGGGGCACATATATTCAGACATCTAGGTCTGTTGGGAGGTGTTAAATTTCAGATACATGCTCTAAAACTGTGGCAATGCAGTATTGTGGAGTCTGGTTGTATTTGGATTCATAAGCTGGGTACTTGCCTTGAGGTGGTTTGGTTTGCGCTCTTGATATTTTTGTAATATTTCTGCCCGGCACCCCAGAGATATGATTGCATGCCGGGCCCTCTTATATATGGCTGAGTGGACTTTGACATTGGCTTCCACATGGGTAACCTCTGCCCAAGCCTTCAACTTTTTCTTTTGAGAGCCCCGGGCCACTCTCACCTTTGTCCTGAACAGAAAAGACTTTTGACCCAGTAGGATACGTATCTGATGCAAGGTGTTGTTGTCCTGACCTTCCTGGAGTGTAAGCTCCTGACTGACTAGATGGTGTAGGCCTTCAATTTTGCAAGTGCCTTTTCCTAAGTTAGAGGGTAACACCAATGTTCTCCTCTCAATAGGCTCATCATTGCTATTGAAGGAACCTGGGAGGTTAAACAGATTTATGTCTTCTGCATTATTGTCTTCATCAGAGTTTGGCCACCCTGAGACCTCCTCAAGAAACTCAGCAACATCGATATTGATACCTTTCAACCTTGAGGTTGAAAACATCTATGTGGGAGAGCAGGTGTTGACGCCTTTCCTCTAACTCCAGTTTTTCTGTGGTTGTGCTCGGGTGCTTCAAGAGACTTCTGTAACAACCAAGAGTTAGTTATTCTGGCGCACACAGAACACGCTATAAGGAAGATGATGAGGGAGTGGTTACCCCAAGAGCTGCAGAGAGTTTGTTGGTTAACAACAGGAGGACTCGCTGAGGAGTCTCCTGGATCTATTGGGGTATATATACTACTACAGGGTTATTTGTACATATGTACTATACAGTTGATAGCGACAGTGGCTGATGATGTCATGGGGCCTAGCCCGCATGGCCAGCTCCACTGTGTGAGAGAGTTGTGTCTATAATAAGAAGAAAGGCAACGCGGTGCGAGAAAGAGGAGTTTGGAAAAAAGGGGAAGTGCCGCGTGGCACCATGTGTGAAAGCTAAAGTACAAGGTTAAAGTGGAGAATAAAAGTAAAGGGAAGGTCCGAAAATTGTGTTCTCGTAACAACTTCATTCAGGGGAGCCCAAAGTGTTTCTAATATCTCACCATCGACCTGTCTGGCCCCAGGGATGAAGTTAGGGGCATATCTTGGGAAGCAGATGTCTTGATGTCCATGCTGTTAGTTTTGGTGATTCTGCACCTAGTTGTGCTATCTATTTTCCCTTCTTTCTAAATCACTTTCCTCTTTATTCTTTTTGCTCTATTGTTCAGTATTCACTAAGCATTCTATAATTTTGCCTTTGTGGCTAATTTGTTTAACTTTATTTACAAAGCTTTAGACTAGTATTGCAGAGTCTAGTATTCCTATTCTTTAGTTACTCATACTGTACTCTAGTTCTGTCCCTGTTAGCTCTCAGCAAGTGGCTAGACACTTCCCAGAAGTTCTCACTTGAACAGGTTATGAGCCCTGTGCTCTAGCCATCTTCCTGACTTCATACCTCATCATCCAAGCACCCTACTGCTTATCCCTCTTGCAAATTGTCTTCTGGGTCTCTGATAACTCTCTCTATCATCTCTGTTTGCTTTGATTCCCATCTGGATCACTCCCTATAAGCCTTTGTTGCTTGGAACCTCATTTTGAACGCTTTTTTGGCCTTATCAGTGCCATATCTCACCCAATCCTTATCTGATCGTCCCCAAACTCCTACCATTGTCTTCTACGACCTTGAAAACCCTAGGAGACTCCTCAGAGTGGTGGATTTTGAGTTTGATCTCCCTTTGAGCCCCTATCATTATCTGATCACCACTTCCACCCCTATTATACTCCTCCACTCCCTGTGCTTCGTTTCCGGCCATACTTGGCCTATCTATTGCACCATATAATCGCTCTCCACACCTATATTTTGGGGGCATTCTATCCACTCCATCTGTCCCTGTGACAATTTCAATTTTTTTTGGCCTATATTTTCGCTTTTTGGCATATCTGGTGCTTGCATAAAGCTCCAATCTTCTCTGCTCTGTCCATTATCAGATAGAACAAGCCTATAGACTGTGAAGCTCGCCTGCATTGCCTCAGTTTGCTGTTGCCCAGAGCCTCTCCCTCTCTCAGTCTGCGGTGTTTGGGGAGCTTAAGTCACTTTGTTGACTCATATACAAGCCCTTTTAACCAACACTGTCTTGATGCAATTTCTCTGTTAATATCAGTGTAGTATTGAAAGGGGAACACAGGCGTAACCCTGTAGCATGACTAGGAAGCCTTAGCACCCTCCTGGACCACTTTTGGACCGCTTTTTTGGACTCTTTTGGACCCTTTGGGCCTTTCTGTGCACTTTTTGGACCTTCTCCATTATCCACCTCCACTGCTTTGCCAGCTCATTTCCACACCATGGATAAAACTAAATGTACTCCTCATTCATATTCTGCTCCTACTCATTGTTCTTGCTCATCTCCTAACTGCCATCATTGTAATCAATCTGCCATACCTGGTGCAAAATACCATTTTTCTACTGTGGTTGCAGAGTCGGCTAGAAATGCAAGCCTCCACTCTATTCATCCCTCTGACTTACACTGCCCTCTCCAGCTTGATGCCGACATTGATTGGAATGCAGACACAGGTGCCACTTCTCATATGACACCTCATCATCACTGGATTTGCAATTATGCACCATATCGTGTTCCCATAAAGCTAGCAGATCATACTATTGTTTATTCAGCTGGTATTGGTACTGTGGTGTTTAACCCTATCATCAATGGCAAGAAATCAAGGGCTGTAGAATTCTCCAGAGTGCTGCATGTACCCGATCTTCGAAATAATCTCCTCTCAGTCTTGTACTTAACTCGTCAAAGTGGTTTTAAAGTCATCATTTCATCTCAATCTATGTCCTTCATACATGGCAACACTCTCTTATTCACTGCAACCATCAACAACAATAATGCTGCATTCCTTGATGGATCCACTGTTTTTTGTGTTGAATTGGGACACTTTTCTGCAACAATTCCACTTGACTTAAACCTTTGGCATCGAAGATTGGCTCACCACCACTATGCTGATGTCAGGAAATTGACACAAGGAAACCTTGTTACTGGAATAACACTTGAGTCTAAATCTACTCCTGATCCTATCTGTGAACCATGTCTGTCTGGAAAAATGTCTGCCAACTCATTCCCTTCATCTTCTCATCGCTCTGCTCACCCTCTAGACCTCATCCACTCTGATGTACACCAAGTCTCCTCCCCTTCATTCTCTGGGTATCGATATTGGGTCACCTTCATTGATGATTACACTCAATTTTGTGTTGTTGTCCCTTTGAAGGCCAAGTCAGATGTCTTTAATGCTTTCAAGAGTTTCAAGGCTTATGCTGAGACTCAATTAAAGCGAACAATCAAGGCTCTGCGCGATGACAAAGGGGAGAGTACATCTCCAAGGAGTTTGAGCAATTCACAGATGATCATGGCATTATCAGACAGCATACCACCCAGAATAGGTCTCAGCAGAATGGAGTTGCAGAAAGAGCAAACAGGCTTCTCTCTGAAAGAATCACTACCATGCTTTCAGAGTCTGGATTGCCTAATATCTTCTGGGGTGAATGCCTAGGTGCATTGGTGCATATCTGGAATAGGTGTCCCACTGATGCAGTGGTCAATGCTACTCCTTATCAATTGTGGCATGGACATAAACCAGACATGTCACACCTTTGTGTTTGGGGGTACACTGCTTATGTGCATGTGCAAAAGGATAAGAGAGGTGTCTTTGGCTCTCACATGGAGAAATGTGTGTTCATTGGTTACCCTGCTGGGTATAAGGGTTGGAAATTCTACAATCCTACCACCAAACGCACCATTATCTCTGAGAGAGCTGATTTTGATGAGCGCTACTTCCCTGGCTTGAAAAAGACTTCTACCACTGCCATTCCTACTCCACCTTTGCCACCTTCACTTCCCATGCCTTTGGGCCTGGATGAGGATGTCCCTGCACCAGATCCAGGGGGAGATATTGACCCACCAGCTGTACTTCAGCAACCTCAGCAACCTCAGCACTTGCCTGATGATGGGCCTGATTTGGACCTTGATGCAAAACCACCTGTGAATCAACCTCTTGAGCTTCCGAATCACCCTCCTCATTGCTCACCTTCTCCTGACTTGCCTATTACACTGAGACGCCCTGCAAGGGCTAGGAGACCACCTAGACCATGGTGGCTTCAACACAGACAACCTACTCCTGCCATTGAGAGCGATAATAGTGATAGTAGTGATTCTGAGGCAGTTGATGATGAAGTGGCACACTTTGGAGACTCTGCTGAGCCTAGGTCATTTGCAGATGCAATGAAGTGTCCTGATGCAGATAAATGGAGAGAAGCAGCCATGGAAGAGCTCCAAGCTCATGAGCACAATGGAACTTAGTCACTTATGGAACTACCTCCTGGAGAAAAGGCAATTGGTGGCAAGTGGGTTTTTAGGATCAAGCACAACTCTGATGGCTCCATTGAGCGCTACAAGGCCAGATATGTGGCTAAAGGTTAAAATCAGCGCCCTGTCTTTGACTTCCTTGAAATATTTGCACCCACTGTTCGTATCTC